ATGAGAGATAGAGCGAGAGAGGGAGAGAGAGAGGGATTCGGTGAAGGGAAGGCATGCGGCGTGCAAAAATGAGGGAGAGAATGAGGGAGGAAAAGACGAAAAGTAACTACAGCAAGTTCATGGAGAGGGTCGCAGCAATGAAGACCCCTCGGCAGCAGATTCAAGTCAATCTAGGTAAACATTGATATATAAAACTTATTTATATGTTAATAGTATGGTTTCTTTACTTTTAAGATTGGTTGAACAACAACATTTTCTACTTTCTAGAGTTCATCCTCTTTATTTTAGTCCAGGCCGACTCACTTCACTCTGTTCGAAGATCTTCAACTTTTTCACACAAATTGCTCAAAATTTCCTGCTCTCAAACATCTTAAATCCCTCACTTACCCGTCTGGCATCAACAACCCAAAGGTATATTTCTCTCATTGCTTTCAGAATTCAGTGTGTGTGTGTGTGTATATGTATATATATATATATGCCTACATGTATATGAAGACATTCACATATGGTAGGACTAAAAGGACGGTATAATGCTTGAATAATGGAATAGAGTCAAGATTATGATGAGAAATGACAGTAAATAGCTATCACTATGTGAATGTCTTATTTTCCTTCACTATGTGACAGTTATCACTAACTTTTGTTTTTACTGTCTTATTGTGTATCCAATGTTGAGAGATAGAACTAAAGGGACAGTAAAATGCTCGAATAATGGAACAAAGTCGAGATTATGCCTGAGGTATCTGGTAATCTTTCTACTTTACCAAAGCAAATTGCAGTTTGTTTTGGAACAAAGAAAGATGCTCTGTTAATCTAGGGATATGGCAGCCTTTTGGTTTTTGGATAGGATTTGGTGCATTATCGAATAAGAGCTTTTTTTCTTTAGAATTATCGAATCAGTGCTTATGTATGCTGTCTGTAAATGTTACAGTAACAACTACAAATACAAGTCAAGAGAAAGATCATATTCTTTTTGTGGTGCAACTGGAGTTTGTTTCGTATGCGGTGCTTTTAGTTGTATAGCCATATGAAGCTGCAAATGCAAATGTTTCTTAAGGTAATCTTCTTCACTATGAATAGATTCATACACGCATACTTATTCACGCTTATATACGAACTTTGGGGTTGCTAAGATTTTCCTCTGGGTTTCATAGGTACATGATGATCCTTCTAACGCTCCAGTTTGATGGTCCAACTCAATGGGTGAGTAATGCTGTTTATTTTCATATGCATGTTTTCTGGAAGTTCATTCCTATTTTGGGATGTTTGAATATACATGCATTGTTTAAATTACAATATTTTATTAAGTGAAACTGTTTAAATTACTTCTTATTTATAATTTTAGCCCTTGCGCCACTTAGAGGGACTACTGGTAGAGCTCATAGCAATTGATGTAAATTCCTTACTTTTGTATTACGATGCTTGGAGTGACTACTGGTAGAGCTCATAGCAATTGTTGTAAGTCCCTTACTTCCGTAATACGAACACTTACATTTATGATCATTTTGGTGTTAATACGATACAATTATAACTTATAACCATCTTACATTGATCAACGCATATGAATATCGAATTTACCTGCATTACTCGAACAATTTGCTTTTTGATTCCCGAAGGGAATTAATAAAAACCAAATATCTGTGTAGAAGTTTAGTTTCCAACTTTCTAGCAGTGAAAATGTTGCCCATTATGCAGACTACACCCTTTCACACACTCACTTTGATATGATTAAACATATATATTCAAGATTTTGATCTCTATATGATTTGGCAATACTTTTCACCTAATATTCCTCTCTTTCTCTCATGAATGCATTCATTGCATTAAAAAAAGGTTCCTAGTTAATCAAGTATAGCTGAACCGAAAGGGGAAGCCAAAACTTCGTCCATTCAGAATTTCTACTGTGAGTAATTTCCTTAAGAGAAGAACAAGTTTGAATCACTTTTTTCTTTTAATTGTGTTTATTATAGTTCTTTGAATGAAAATCCTAATTTGCACAAATTACATGTTACCACTCTCCTTAGTCTACATATATGCAGTGTGCAAAATTACATCTGTTCTCAAGAATGAACATGTTTTGTTCCATCCTTCTGTTATACTCCTATATAAACAAATTAACATAATTCATCCTAGAGCTATATAAATTAGGTTACTGATTTGTTTATGGATTTCTTTGTTGATCATTTCTATTTTCACCAATTTTCCATTCTTGCCAAGTAGGTTTTTGTCAAGAGTTACTATGATCAACTTCCCTTTTATAATTTCTGTCTTCTAACATTTTCTATTATGTAATTAAAATGTCATATCTGACTGAAAAATAATGTCACTGTTGATGACCCGCAACATCATGCGGGCATCAACGCTAATTTATTACTAAGTCTTAATGGTGTAGGGTATATGTAAATTAAATTCAATTAGAACTCATTGTTTTGTTTTCTGTTTTGTAGCTGCCTTGATCATTAGTTGGTGATCTCTTGTATTGGAATGTCCTGATTTTTTTAGTTTCTGAAAAAAGAGGAAATGTTAATGCATTTATATGTGTAAGTATGCGCGCGCTCTTCACTGATATTCCATTCTCATTTCTGTTCTCCCTCATTCATATGTAAATGCTTTGTTGTATCTTGTCCTCTGCCTATTGGTCATAAATATAGTATCTATGTTTTCCTTATCTTGTTCTTGAATACCCACGCTAATTGGGAGATCATTTGTTGTTTCGAGGTTGAAGGTGGTTTGCATATTCATGAACTTGTCAATTTAATATGTTCTTAGTTGAAGTTGCAAAAGGGTTGCAGTGAATTTGTGAAGAGTTTTGTATGGTAAATTATGACTGCAAACCCCTTGAAAATCTAATTTTTCCTGGTATTTATATGATCATATCTCAGTGTTGTCCTCAACTCCAATCACTTTCGATTGGACTTGAGTTAACACTATTCTTACAAAATTTGTGGGTTTGATTTTGGGTGCAGGCTGCAGCTGATGATCAGATTCAAGTTATTGAGATGATTAAGCTCTTGGAAACAAAGGGATCGAAGACTTTTTAAAGTTTGGTTCCAACATTTGTACAAAATTCTATAAAATATCAGTTATGCAAATTTATAATTGTATTCTTATATTTTAATGATATAACAATTTGTTTTCTCACCAAAAATAGAAAAAGAAATATGATACTTCAATTTGGGTGCCCACACAGGGCATCCTTTTTTTTAATATTATTTTGTAACTTTGCCACCGATGTGAATTAGGGTGGCACTGCAGGAAAGACACCAATGCAATATTGGTAGCCATTGTTACAATAGAATCCTCTACATAGGCCACTCTTTAGTTTAGTGGGTGCTTGGTGACCATAGAGGTTTGCCACCAATGTGAGTGGCAACACTTGACAATAGCCACCAATGAAAAGGGTGGCTTATAGCCAAATTTGTAGTAGTGTACTTCATATTTTATAACGTTATTGCACTCGGTATTGTACCAAATTTTTCGTCAGTTTCAAGTACTTCATATCTTTTCTTAAAGTTTCTTTCCGAGTCTTCTTAGGTTTTTCTCTATCCCTTTTAGCCCGAGTCTCTGTTTCATAATCGGAGCATCTGTAGGTTTTTGGTTCATATCCAAACCATCTTAACTAATTTTCTCTCATCTTATCTTAAATTGTAGCCACTCCACTTTACCTCGAACTTCCTCGTTCATAATACTATATTTTCTCATGTGCCCCTTAATTTTACGCACATGTTTCTTTTTTACTACCCAACATTCCGTTCTATAAAGCATTGTTGGCCTTATTATCATCCTATAAAATTTCTTCTTTAGCTTTAATGGCATATGACGAGCGCATAACAGACCCAATGCACTCTTCCACTTCATCCGTCCAACTTGTATTCTATGATTGAGATCTACATCTAATTCTCCATTCTTTTGCAAGGTAGATCCAAGATAACGAAAGCGTTCACTCTTTGGTACTTCTTGACCAATCCTCATCCTTATCTTATTTGGACCCCCATTCCCACTGAACCTGCCATCTATATACTTTCTTTGACATGCTTAGGCTCCGCCAAAGGTTAAGTTTCGCATTTACTCCCTCTTGTGTTCATCTATAGCATCTGTAAGAAGTTTACACAAAGGGATATCATCTTAAATATGCTCATTAACTTGTCTATTACCAATGCAAAATGGTAAGGGCTAAAAGCTGAGCCCTAGTGTAACCGTATGGTTATGGGAAAACTTTCAATTTGTCTTTCATGAGTTCTTACGTACTGCTGTTTTTGCTCCATCATACATATCTTTTATTGCTTGGATGTATACTACCCATACTCCCTTCTTCTTTAGAATCCTCCAAAGAATTTCTCTTGAAACCCTTATTATACGTTTTGTTCAAATCTATAAAAATCATGTGCAAGTTCTTTTTTGTATCTCTATATCGTTCCACCGATTTTCGTCACAAAATGAAACAAAATTTATATTGAGTTGTTTCACTTTTAATTACACCGAAAACTTCTTGTTACAAAATCACAAACTTATTAAGTTAGTAAGTGATTACGTTGTTTGTTGAACCGAGCTGGGATGTGCCACCGTACTTCTGCTATGAATAGTTATTATTTAAGAGTTTTTAATTTTTAAAAACTATATAAAATCATTTTTTTTGCATAAGGTGAAGTATGACTTCAAGGTTCAAATGAATGCTAGCTGGCTATTGTGTTTTGATTGGAGCAAAGAAGTACTTCCGTTCTTCACTTCCATTTTAAAATTCATGCTTTTGTGAATTGTGTGATATTGTTGGGGGCAAACAGTCGTTTTCCAACAACTTACGTAATATAAACAAATGAGTTTCCTCCCTGCAACTGCAAGTTCCACCCCACCTTTATATATAATTACACATTACTACACATTTCCATGCAAATATCTCATTACGTACGTACGTACGTAGAGTTTACCGAAAACTAATTTGCTAAAGAAATTGTTTTTAAATAAAAGCTTCGCTACAAATCAAAACACACTTTGTCGATATAATGATAGATTGGGATCGGTTGCTGGTGAAGTGGCATGTAGAGTTTTGGGGGAGGCAATGGAACTTTGTCGATATCGCCACTTTGGCTGGCCTTTCCTATTTGCATTACCTTGCTCTTCTAGCACCGTTTCATTTCAACTGGACTGCCTTATGGCTGGCCGTAGCACTTTATTTTATTACAGGTGTAGGTGTAACCCTATCCTTCCATAGAAAGCTTTCACACCGGAGTTTTAATCTTCCAAAGTGGCTTGAATACTTCTTTGCTTATTGTGGGGTTCTTTCACTTCAGGTGGTCGAAATATAATGTTTCTGGGGAAATTTTTTATGGATTTTATTTGTAGTTTATAATTCACGATTTTAGTCGAGAAACTATTTAGTAGACTTTGTTTATGTTTGCAGAGAAGTCCACTTGAGTGGGTGAGCATCCACAGAGCTCACCATCAATTTACTGACACGTGGAAAGATCCCCATAGTCCTATTCAGGGACTTTGGTTCAGTCATGTTGGTTGGACCATTGATTATCGTATTCGGTTTGGAAGTGTATAAACCTCTCTATCTCTTACTCAAATTTAATTAGTTGACTATCATGTGATGAGAGATAGATTTATAACTACATACATCTCATAATACTTATGAACTAGAATTTTATTAAACTTCAATTTAAATATTTTTGCAGTATGAAGCTAGATTAAAGAACGTTGGAGACTTAAAAAGCCAACCATACTATAGGTTTCTTCATTATACGTACCCCCTTCATTCAATTGCTCTTGGAGTTGTATTGTATGCTATAGGAGGAATGCCCTTTTTAGTTTGGGGAATGGTAAAAAACTAATTAACACTTTTTACCATTTGATTGTTAAAATTGATCAGTTATTTTATTTTATATTTTTGCAATAATTAATCAAATAGGGTTTCTTTGTTTTGTAGGGCGTAAGGACGGTAATTTTTCTCCATGCTATGTTTGCAATAAATTCGGTTTGCCACACATGGGGGCAAGCAGTATGGGACAGTGGTGATTTGTCTAAAAACAACTGGTATTTTAGCGTATACTGCAACATGCATGCGTCTTTGGATGAAATTAACATATTTTTATGATTTACATGGATAACAATTTTAGCTCTGAATTAGGATCTTAGGATTGCTGACACATGGAGAAGGTTGGCACAATAATCACCATGCATTTGAGTTCTCAGCTCGGCATGGATTTGAATGGTGGCAAATTGATGTTACTTGGTACGTGATCAGATTTCTTCAAGCTGTTGGTTTGGCTACAGACGTAAAACTTCCGACTGAGACTCAAAAGAAAAGAAGAGCTTTATCCAATAAAATCAACGAGGAAAGCTTGAAGGAAAAGTAGAAAATGGAATGATCGATATAATATACTTCTGGGTTTTAGACAATAATTAGTTCAAAGATTACTCCGCGCGCATCTGTGAGAATAAAATCACTGTAATATTATATCTCCAAGACTCCATCTGTGTCATGTCATAATTCTATGGATAAATTCAGAAGTGTTAGGTAGTAAAAAAAATGTATGAAATTTATACATATACATATGTATATAAGTAGTTCTGCTTTTATATTACGTTAAGATTATATTTGAATTTTTCACTATTCGAATCCAGAACCATACACTGAAACTATAAGTGCATAAAGATAAACGGAGGTTTCGCTAGAACAGCATAGAGAAACCAATTGTGTAAGAATACAAGAATTCCACAGCGATCGGAGAATTAACAAAATCAATTATCAATGATTCTACTCCTATTATCATCGCATGCATCAAGTTTTCACGCCTCTAGTATGTACAGATTGTAAAATGCAAGTTGCTGGATAGAGTGATTAGAACTGAATCGCTGATATGTATCTCTATAAAATCTTGTCATCAACTACCGAAAACTTTTTGCAAAGGTCCCGGATAAGTAAACCCACATCCACCATACCGGTGGAGAAATTAATAAGAACAGAGATATATATATCATATTGATGGATCTTCTGCTTATCTAATGCAGACTCTGAATTAAATTATATACACACAGCTTAACAGGAATTATATTACTAAGGCTTTTTTTTATTTTTTATTTTTTCCAGCTAGCCCATCCCACTACATTATTAATTCCTTGCTAGCCTGTCTGCAACGAACCAAATAACACAACATGCATGAAAGTCACCAAATTAATGGCTCCACATGCTATGTAAGGTAACCATTGACAAACTACAGAAGTCTTTGATTTCTAAAGGCTTGAAGTAATCTTGATTTGAAATAAAGAGTTTTAGCTTTAAAGACAACACATATTTTGTCAAATTTGGCCTGCATTAGTCGGACCCTTTTTTTTTTCGGTGGGGTTGGGGTTTAGTTTCCATGCATGTGCAGGTGGGCAAGAGCAATGTTATTAATTGTGATTATCAAAAAGCTCTATTCGCCAGTAATTTTTTGTATAACTGTTACATTGTAACGCAGTTATATATCTCAATCAACACACTCACATAATAACCATGTCAAAGGTGAACTTAAACTGTGTTGAAGCATTTAATAGTCCACATAGTGACAGCATGTGGTTAAGAATTTTACAAACAGAGAAAATTATATACTAAATTTATCTAAACTACAAGACAAAGATTCAAATGTGGATATATAAGAAGGAGCACACTACTCTAGCCAACTTGACTAAACTCGTGTTTGCACGGATAGTTTATGGTTGTTTGGTATCCTTCTTGAATCCAAATTTTGTTTTTGAAACTTATGAATATAAAGTTATTTAGCTACATTCATTATTTTTTAAGAACAGAAGGTTGGATTCAAGAAGGATAACATGACATTCTCTAAATTATAGGTATTGATTAGTAGTGAGCGGCTTGACCGACTCTGAAACCAAACTGAATTCCTCTTGTATTGAATTAAACCACAACTAGATCATCATTTGGATAGCTTGACACCAATTCGTATAATTAAGTGCATGTGGCATAGGGAGTTGGTCATCCAATGGTGCTTTGTGAGTGTGAAGGGAAATGCCGCGATTGGTTTTTTGGGTTTCCTTTCGTGGGGCCATCTCTGGTTTGAATTTCTTTCTCTTGGGCCTTATGGCTGCTTTCATGCTTGGGCAGTTGAGTGTCGTTTTCTTGGGATAATTTGCTTTTCACCAGATTATATAGGGCCGTGAACTATAGGGGATGGATGGGTTCTGCTACATAGCCCACGAGATTTCCCTCACCTCAAACTTTGAACCCTATATGCATATTATTGCACAAAGACATAGCCATAAAAATCTTGTGTCCTATAATTTGTCAACTGTTACTTTCTTACCTTTTTGGCCATTCAAGTTAAAAAGAACTACACGTGATAAGATTTAAGAGAAACTAATACGAAAAATAGTTGATGAAAGTAGCCTACCATATGAGTTTGTTTCTTCTTCAAGTTAGTTTGATATATAACATAGTAAAAACAAATATCACTGCTACAGTCTACAAGAAATTTAACGATAGTCATTGATATTAGTTGTACATAATGAGATGGGGTGAAAAACCTAGCAGTAGCTAATAATTACCTCATTGATACTCCTAAGTCTTTTACCAGCCTCATTGTAAAAGAAATAATAGTGACTATATTATTTCTTAGTGTCTTAAACCAAATGGTCACCAATTACGTCATTTTCTTTAAAAACATATATATTTTGGAAGACCATATTTTTTTACCACGCTCATGTACGACATGATGTGACAAGTAAGGTATACGTGTCATGTTAATTAATAAGTATATTTCGTTAAATATTGGTTATATGTGTTAATTGTCACATTACGTACGTGATACATGAATATGATAAAAAAGAAATAATGGTCTCCTAGTATTACTCTTTTCTTTAAGTATTAAACAAAATTTACTCCAAAGAAAAAAAAAATGCAATGCCCACCTAAAGATTAGATTTTGAATCTATAAATAGACTAGCTTCTTCATTCATTTCCATGCAATCTCATTAGTCATTAAGATACAAAAGAAGCACAAGCATTAGGGTTTTGTGGCAAGCCCAATGGGAGAGTGGGTGACGCAGTGGAGGGTAGAATTTTTGGGGAGGGAATGGAACGTCGTGGACATAGGCTCAGTAGTCGTTGTTTTGGCTTTGCATTTGCTTACTCTTTTAGCTCCATTTCATTTCAACTGGCCTGCATTTTGGGTAGCAGTTGCACTCTATCTTGTCGTAGGAGTGAGTGTGAATCTCTCTTACCACAGGCAACTTTCCCACCGGAGTTTCAAGCTTCCCAAATGGCTTGAATACTTTTTTGCTTACTGTGGAGTCCTATCGTTTCAGGTAAATACACTTTTATTTATGTTTGCAGAGAAGATTTTGTTAGACTCATTGTACTTTTTAAATGTTTGCAGAGAAGTCCGCTTGAATGGGTGAGCATACACCGATCTCACCACCAATTTACAGACACATTGAAGGACCCTCATAGTCCCGTTAGAGGATTTTGGTATAGTCACATTGGTTGGATCTTCAATTATCGTTCTCGGTTTGGAAGTGTACGCAAAATATCTATACCTCTCACAAGTTTATAAATATTGTTCAGGCTTAGTTCTATACAACTTTGCGTCTATTCCTCGTATCACATAATCTGATTGCGTGTCTACAGATATCGACGCATAAATGATGATTTTTTTAACTTTGAAACTTTGCAGTATGAAGCACGACTAAAGAATGTTGGAGACTTGAAAAGGCAGCCATTCTATAGATTTCTTCATTATACGTACCCCCTTCATGCAATTGGTTTTGGAGTTCTCCTCTACGCTTTGGGAGGATCACCCTTTCTGGTTTGGGGACTGGTAATCGAAATATTCTTGTTGCTTTGTTAATCAAAATATTCTTGTTGTTTTGGTAATCAAAATATTCTTCTTGCTGTGTTTTTTATATCATTATATAGGGTGTGAGGTCAGTAATTTTTCTCCATGCTACTTTTGGAATAAATTCAATTTGCCACACTTGGGGGCAACAAGTATGGGATACTGGTGATTTGTCTCGAAACAACTGGTATTGTTGTATTTTAATTTGTAGTTTAAATGCATTCTTATTTAATTACATATCAATTAATAGTAAGGTTAATCAAATATGTTTAGGTTAATTGGATTGCTGGCGCATGGAGAAGGTTGGCATAACAATCACCATGCATTTGAACACTCAGCTCGGCACGGCCTAGAGTGGTGGCAAATTGATATTACTTGGTACGTAATAAGATTTCTTGAAGCTGTTGGATTAGCAGCGGACGTAAAGCTTCCTACTGAGACTCAGAAGAATCAAAGAGCTTTAATGTTAACCAGCAACAACCACCAAATCAGCAACGAAAAACAGCTCGACTCAAAAGTCAGCAATGGAAAGCTTTGAAGCTTTTGAACTAGAAAATACGTTTATGTCACTAGTTACCAACTTACCAAATTATACCAAATTCATTATAAATAATGTCCTATGTCGGTTATGCTTGTAATGTGGTGTTAAATTTTGTTTTATGTAGCCCCTTTGAAGTCATGAAATAAATAGTGTTGTTCACATTGAGGATGTGTTTGATGAAATTGGAGAACGAGTTCCATAGCACGAGTTGTTAACTGTTATTGTGGCGTTTCAAGTTATTAATACGAAGTTATGTGGAATGGGTTTTACACATAACTTTATACTCCAAGATGAAACGGTGGGTGAATTTATTCATGTAAATCCTTCTCGTAAAAGGAAGAATTCCTAATTAGTAGTTGTGCCACATCGATATGTCACCTTAAGTAATGTGATTTTATTGTGTTAAAGTTTATTCTTGCGGTTTACAATACTAACAAATTTACGCAAATGGTCAATATTTATTAATAACTTAGCATCCATGTAAGAGTCATGTGTTGGCCATTATAATACCAAGTAAACTTGAAAACACTGGGTAGAAAGTGCCTAATTGTGCTAAAACAATATTCAACCCACACGTTAGACATTATGGTTAAACATAAGGTTGATATGTCATGTATCTAGAGTATGATATGAATATATAAGTAAAAATTGGTATTTGGTTTTTAGTTACTAATGTTCTTTTATTGAAACTTTATTAGTTTTTAGATTTTGTTCGAGATCCCTAACATTAATACAATAATGAATTTACATGTCAATTACATAATTTTTAAGGAAAACTAATGAAAATGGCTTGAAAACTTTGAGTTTTAATGATAAGGACAAAATAAAGGGTAAAGTAAATAGTACCAAGATTAACTTTTTAGTGTAAAACCGTGGTTTTTCGTTAAAATGAACAGTATCGTGGGCTTTTCGTTAAAACTCTCTAATTTTTAAAATAAAAATTAATAATTGATTTAAGATTAGTACTCACACCTTCATTAAACTCATAACTAATTTTCAATTTAAATCATTTCTAAAATTAAAAAAAAATAGAATAAGTTTGTACCCCTGAATTTTTTTTATAAAAAGGTTTCCAATTTTTTAATCTTATATGTACCCATTCATGTAATTTTTCAAATTTTTAATCTTAAAATATACTCATTCTTAAATATAGCAATTTGTTGCAGTAAAATGTACCCTTTTTTAATATAAAATCTATTCAATTTTTTTTCTAATCCATTTTTTATATGGGTACATTCTTTTTCCTGATTTGAGAATGTATCCATGTCAAGTTTAATCAAAGAAATTTACTAATGTTATTAAGCCTAATATCTATTATTTTTTGTGTGGTTTTGAAGAATGTACCCATATTTTGGTACAATAATTTTTTTGTTAATTTTTTGTGAATGTACCCATGTTTATATACATACATATATATACACACACAATATATATTAGAGAGTATAATTTATATTTTAATCATTTTAATCCACAAATTATGGGTTTTTTTAATTTAAAATCTCATTAATACAAACAACTATAAATTTCAATTTTTAATTTAAAAAAATATAATAACCTACATAGAAATACATTATCACATTAATTTCAGGGACTTCGATTAAATTTTGAAAACCTATAAGATTTCAATAAAAAAAATATTAATAATTAGGGACCACATCTAAAATGTTCCATAAAATTATAAATTTATAATATGAGTAGATTGAGGGAAGACCAAAACAATGCTGTTACAATCACACCGATCGAAAACTCACCGAAGTGGTGGGTTTTGAACAATATTTTGGATTAATTAAGCATGCTAAACTGAGTTTTGTAGCAATCAAAGCTCATAAATCAAAGTGGTTCGTTCAACATCAATTAATTACGAAAGGTGAAATAAATATTTACTAACATATTGAATTTCGACATATATATTAGAGCTTACGTGGCATACATTATGCGTGTTACAAACCGTACGCATGGCATATGACTCAATAAAACCGGACGAATTATCAAAAGTGACACATGTCGACATTTGATGGAAGATAATTAAAGAATTAATTTTCATTTTCATTTAAATTAAAAAAAATTAATTGATTTAAAATGTCAAATCATGAACCAAGCCACAAGTCAAGTTATGATTCTTTTGTCAATTATCAAGTCCACAATCATGGCCATATTCAACCGTAGGCAAGACTTGAAGAGCCAATAAATACAAGGCTCCAAGACAAAGAAAATGTCAGAAAATCATTCTCACACTCAGAGCTTCAAACTCCTAAACACTCTCAAACATCCAGAAGACTCAGAAAACTATTTGCATTCCTCGTCAAACCGTGAGGAATCATCAAGCACCACTACATGTGTCGGTTCTTTCATCACCACAAGCAAACCCCTGCGACATTCGTTCATTCAAGATTAAGTCATCGCAACCCTTGGATCAACGACAATACACACATTCTCTACAACCCTAAGATCGAATCAAATGATCAATCTATGTAAACAGAGATTGTGGCCCTAAATTCATGAATACAAATTTATCATTTGTACATGTGATCTTGTCTCATTTGTTACACGAAATTCACGTTTACAATGTGATAAGAATATAATTAAAATTCCTAACGAGTTTCCAGTTTGCATTAAGAATGTAACATATGCAGGTGATGAAAATGTACTCAAGGACTATTAGAGAAGTGCTAGTTCTTAGAAAAGATATGAACATAAATGAATCTTCACTTGTTACGACTTCATATGTAAATCGTGACATTAAATGTATTGTGATTGTGCTTGTGCCAGTTGCGGATCCAAAAATTCTTACACTTATAAAACTATATTCTTCATTCATTTCCATGTATACTCCTGACACTATACAGAAGAAGCATTAGGTTTGTGGCAAGTGTTGGCCATGTGGTAAAGTTGGGGACGTTATCGGTGTCGTGTTGGCAGTACCATATCGATGGAAAAAGTCAACAAGGATGGCTTTAAATATGATTACCCTGCTCTAACTAATACAAAAGTTTTTTGTGATAAAACCTCTCACCTGACGGATTGGGCAGGTGATAAAGTTGGGGATAGCATTGGTGTCGTTAAATTGGGCCCCCCCAGGCTCATCGATCTAGTATCAGTGTCGTGTTGACAGTCTCACATCGGTGGGGGAAGTCAACAAAGGTGGCTTTAAATATGATTACCCTACTAACTAATACCGAGGCCTTTTGTAGTAAAACCTCACACCTGACAGATTGGACATGTGGTAAACTTGGGGACAATATCGGTGTCATTAGAGTGGGGCCCCTTAGGCATGTCGATCTAAAAAAAAAAAAATTTCAACATGGTATCAGAGCCCACGATTACGGGCCTGTGCAAGCCAAAGGCTTGTCACAAAGAAGTGTGTGCTTAGAAACAAGTTTGGACTGTTAACATAGAGCCGACCTCTGAGTTCTTAAGAGGCACTTCCTGAAAAGACTGAAAACAAGTCTGGACTCCATTGGAGCCGACCTTTAAGTTTCAATTGCGAATATGTGGATCTCCACGTGTGAACCACTAAATGATGATACACATGAGGGGGCGTGTTGAGCAGGTGGTAAAGTTGGGGACAATATCAATGTCGTGTTGGCAGTCTCATATCAGTGGGGGAAGTCAACATGATGACTTTAAATATGATTACTTTACTCTTGTTGAAAGTTTTTTTAGATCAACGAGCCTGAAGGCCTCACTCTAACGACATCGATATTGCCCACTCTAACTAATACTGAGGCTTTTGTAATAAAACCCCACACCTGACGAATTGTGCAGGTGGTAAAGTTGGGGACAATATCGGTGCCGTTGGAGTGTGGGCTTGCCGATCTAAAAAAAAATTCAAAAAGGTATCGGAGCCCACAGTTACGGGCCCGTGCAAGCCAAGGGCTTGTCACAAAGAAGTGTGGGCTTGGAAACAAGCTTAGACTCTTCACATAGAGCTAGCCTCTAAGTTCTTAAAAGGCATTTCCTGAAAAGACTGAAAACAAGCATAGACTCCATTGGAGTTAACCTCTGAGTTTCAATTGCCAATGTGCGGATCTCCACGTGTGAACCACTGAATGGGGTTACACGTGAGGGGGTGTGTTGGCTGTCCCACATCGGTGGGGGAATCAACAAGGGTGACTTTAAATATAATTACCCAACTTTAACTAATACTGATGCTTGTTGTGGTAAAACCCTACACCTGACGAATTATGCAGGTAGTAAAGTTCGGGACAGTATCAGTGTCATTAGAATAGGGCTCCCCGAGCCTGTCGATTTTAAAAAAAAAAATTCAACACGGGCTCATCTTGTTGGGCATGTGGTAAAGTTGGGGACAGTATCGGTGTCGTGTTAACAGTCCTACATCGGTGGGGGGAAGTCAACAATGGTAGCTTTAAATATGATTACCCTACTTTAACTAATACCGATGCTTTTTTGCGGTAAAAGCCCACACATAATAGATTGGACAGGTGGTAAAGTTGAGGACAATATCGGTGTAGTTAGAGTGGGGCCCCATGGGCCTATCTATCTAAAAAAAAATTCAACATGCTATCAGAGCCCACTGTTACGGGCCCGTGTAAGCCAAAGGCTTGTCACAAGGAAGCGTGGGCTGGAAACAAGTTTGGTCTCTTAACATAAAGCTGGCCTCTGTTACCATGTTGAAATTTTTTTTAGATCGACGAGCCCAGAGGCTCCACTATAACGACATCAATATTGTCCCTAACTTTACCACTTGCCCAATTTATCAGGTGTGAGGTTTTACCACAAAATGTCTCGGTATTAGTTAGAGTAGGGTAATCATATTTAAAGTCACCATTGTTGACTTCCCCCACCGATGTAGGACTGCCAACATGACACTGATATTGTCCCTAACTTTACCACCTGCCCAATAACAAGCCCAATAAAAGAGTGGGTGACGCAGTGGAGGGTGGAATTTTTGGGGAGGGAATGGAACTTCGTGGATATAAGCTCGGTACTTGTCGTTTTAGCTTTGCATTTGCTTACCCTTTTAGCTTCATTTCATTTCACCTGGCCTGCATTTTGGGTAGCAGTTGCACTCTATCTTGTCGTAGGAGTGAGCGTGAATCTCTCTTAGCACATGCAACTTTCTCACCGGGAGTTTCAAGCTTCCCAAA